AACGTATTGCCGCTATTGCGTATACACTGTGAGGGGATTTGCATGAGCTTGTGAATAGAGCAGCATGGTGGTTGGAACCGATTTTATTATTTGCAATTTTCTTATGTTTGCACACGCAAATTTTATATTGCTTATTACTAGTTTGGTCGGGTTAGTAGTTGCTGAAAAAGTACTAGTAATATGTTATCTGGTAGGCATTCTCACTCGCCAACAGGGCTGGTCAGCCCAGACATTCTACTAGCCCTTACTGTTTTCTACTAGCCTCGGGCGAGCGGGCGAGCGTTAGTTTCAAGCCCTGTATATATATTATACAGGTGTTCGTGTGTGATTTTACTTCTATACCATATATATACATATATGATGAATACTAAATTATGAATCGGCACATCTGTTGTTACCTACTAATGTTAAAGTCATTATGATTAAATTGTATCATAATGTCAACCATGTCTGTTACGTTATGCATAGTGAGGTCATTGATAACAGGGAGTCAGCGGGATATACAAGCATTTATCTGATGCAGTATTTGACACAATCAATAAGAAAACATGCTACTGCAAGTACACTACAATTGTAAAGTACAATACACCAGCAGGTAAGGGTGTCTTTCTTAGTCTCTTGACTAAGACACATTGTGGAAATCCATATAGTTTACCGTAAGGTCATGATCTAATAAAAATTTCACATCAATAAAATAATTATGGTACTGTGAGCCTACATTGGTCAGCTTTTCCATTTGTGCCTTTAACTCCTTCTCAGCAACTTGGTTTAACTCTTGCTCCTTTTTTCTCATTTCTTCTTCTAACTCCTTTTCTACATCCTATAAAATCAACACAGGTCCGTAGCCTAGTGATATAATAATAATATTATCAGGAGTCAATCAATATTGATATACTCCTGATATTATGCTACTGTGACTGTACGTGTTGTGTTTGCGCATGCATGTGTGCACAGATGCACGAATGCATTCATTCTCTGAATAAATATTATACAAGCAGGGGTGGAAATTAACTTTTGAACATGGGAGTCCAACGTACTCCCTACCCTAAAAAAAGGGAGTCCGCAGCAAAATGAGGGAGTCCGCAGTCTGAGATTCAAAATTAAAGATATATTAACAATAACGCATGTGCTTATTTTTAAGATTCATACGGTTGCACATCTGCCAAATTTTCTTTGGAAATTAGCTGAAAAACACAGTAATTCCGCGAGGCCGTGCTCCGGAAAAAACTAGTTGGTATGGTAGAATTTTCAGGGAGTCACACAGACTCCTGCATATGTCAAATCAGGGAGTCCAACAGTAAATCAGGGAGTATTTGACTCCAGACTCCCGTTAATTTCGCACCCTGTACAAGACATTGTAGTTATCTTACGTATCAGCATTAGATTACAGTTATGGCTTATGTTTAGAATGAAATAAAAATGCATTTTTAAGAAATAAATAGCGGTATATTGTCTACATAATACATGAAACCAAGATGAAAGTACTACAATTGCCTACCTTTTGCAGGGTGTATGACTCATTCAGAGTTTCTTCTTTTGCAGCAAGTAAGCTTTTTAAGTGATCCACCTATAACCAGATAATTCCATTGAGATTTAAAGGATAATCAATCTGTGGGAAATCAGGGAATGTCCTTAAATGTCTGAGCCGCAGATTAGCAGACCTAAGTACGGAATGTTAGCTAAATATATTAAACATGCAAAATTGCAACAGAAGATGCAACACCGGCACACCGTGCATGAGTAGTTTGGTCAGTGAGCGAGACGAAAAAGCCTCGAACCCGACCCAGTAATTAGTATACACAGAACCTAAAGGAAGTTTTATGTAGCAATATCTACTTTTTAATGTTTTGAATGGCTGTTATATACGCTGCTGTTAAAAGATGTACTCATACGATAATGGTTTAACAATTTTTCATTTTAAATTAGACTGAAATATATTGATTTTACCTTTCTTGTAGAAACAAATCCACTTTTGTTAGTATATTTATGCACAGTCACAAACACAGAAACGCTTTTGGGATTCTACTAGATTCTTACAACATTAGTTAAACATGCAATTCAAAGGTGAGCCTGATGAAATTTATAAGAACGATCGCAAGGAAAACAAAGGTATTGTTTGACATTTAGGGGGTTTAAACAATACAAAACTCCCGATCATAACGCACATTCAGTCTGTTTTCGTGCCTCCGATTTGCTTTCAGATACGCTTCCAAGCTTCGGAGGGATCTACTCAGGGGGTAGGATCTACTTAGCATTCAAAGATATTAGATTCATAGATCTCTATCAAGATATTATCATAGATACCTCTCTCACGGCATCCTGTATCTGTTGCGTCATCTTCCCCTCCTGCACCTTCTGTAGATACGACAGGTCAGAGTATTGCTGGTGCGACTCCTGTCTCTGTCGTTTAGAACGCGGCGGGGAGATGTGCACGCCACTACCACTCGTAGCCTCGCGCTTCGCAACTCTAGATGACGATTCCTGCTCCTTTTGACAAGCTGCTGCTGCTGCCGAAACCCTTTAAACATAATATTTACGACTTACTGCACACGTCACAAATATTTTTTCGAACCACCTCAACCTTTGGGCAGGGAGTCCGGAGTCAAATACTCCCTGATTTACTGTCGGACTCCCTGATTTGACATATGCAGGAGTCCGTGTGACTCCCTGAAAATGCTGCCATACTAACTAGTTCGTTCCGGAGCACGGCCTCATGGAATTACCGTGTTTTTTCAGCTAATGTCCAAAGAAAATTTGGCAGACGTGCAACCGCATGAATCTTAAAAATAAGCACATGTATGCGTTATTGTTAATATCTTTCATTTTGATTTTTGAACCTCAGACTGCGGACTCCCTCATTTTGAGGGTAGGGAGTCCGTTGGACTCCCGCGTTCAAAAGTTAATTTCTACCCATGTTTGGGTAAGTATTCTGTAAATTGTACATGCCCGAATGACATTCTAGTTGCGCCCATATATTTTGCAGGAATATTTTTGAAATATTGAGTAAAGAAGTGTACACCAGACAACTTCTAGACGTCGATACGACATCCTATAAATCCTCCGATATGCCTTAATTGCCTAACCGACACGCCTTAATTTTCGGCTGTGTTTGCTGTTGGCAACACTGACACAGTCATGCTGGGTTTTTACAGCTTGCCGTATATATGTCTCTAAACTAAATGAGTTTAGCTGTGTATTGGGGCCACTTATTACACAAATTTAATTACGTAATTGACTTTATTTGGTACAACTATCTCCCAGGCCCTTCTCCATCCATTTATAAACAACATTACATGCCTTCTGAAATTCCTGTGGAGAACCCCCATAATGTATAAATATTGATTGAATCTACAGATCAGTTCATGATAACATTATCGTGATGGCAATCATACCGAGTTTTCCTCTCCCTGCGTGAATTTCTGTTGCCGGGGTGAAACTTGAAGACAAACTCAGCCGGTAGAGTAGGTTTTATGGGAACGCCAAACTGAACAGTATCCCCATCCATCAGTACTTGCGGCTTTCCTGGACCAAGCACCTTGCCATTCACATATATGCCATTCAGGGTCTGAAATCGGTGCAGATGGGTCAGCGTCATAATATACTCTCAAATTTTTCCTCTTTGCTGTATTACCGATCGAGTCATTTCAGATGTTCATGCTGGTTGACACTACATTTAGCTATTATAAATACATAAATATGTATATATATATATATATATATATATATATTACAGGCCCAGTAGCCAGGGCGGGTGTCGGGGGGTTCGAATCGACCCCCCGTCCCCAAGCCAAAAAAAAATTCTTTGTAAACATTTGCAGAGATTCACCTCAGGTCCGCCTCCATTTGATACTGTAATATTGCAAAATCTCCATCGTCGGCGGGAGCGTGAACAAGCGAGACACCCCTCCGCCGCACCCTCCCCCGCTCGGACGTTGGCTCCCTCGCCTGGCCGCTTGCGCGCGCGGCAGGCGGCGTAGTACAGGGGTGGGTCCAGGGAGATCTGGACCCCGACCATTGCTTCGCGCAGAAACGCATAACTGAGGGTGTGTAAATTTAAAAAAATTTTCTGCGGGGGGCCCCCCTGACCCCCCCTTCGCTTGTCGCTCGTCACTTCGTGGTTTGACGGTATTAGACCCCCCCTGGGCTACAAATCGCTGTACCGCCATGTCGAAGACAAATTCGCCAACATTGAAAACGATACCCCCCCCCCCCAATACAAAGCTGGTACGGGCATGTTATTAACATATTATATATTTAATGCTATGTATATATTATGAATATATATGTGTGAATGAAATTCTTTTGCGCTTTCCTTTCATTGCTATCACAAAAGGATGAATCTAACAACAAATGCAGTTTGTTCTTGTAGCTTATCATTCAGGGGTTTGTAATATACTCAATATCTCCAAGCCAGAAAGATCTTACCTTCATGTCCATGATGTTCCATACATTGTCCTCATTACAAGAAAGCAAAGCATGCTTTCGGGATATCATCGAAGATAGCAAGGTTACCGTTGCATCAGGTGATCTTCCAACAGTAACCTGAAATGACCACATGATTAAATCAGGAGTGTATAATATAAACTATAATATATACTACTACATTATACACTCCTGATTAAATTAAATGCAGTAAGGGTACAAATTATAACATAATAGTCAGAATACGACTTATGATCGTCTTCTCCTTCTTTTTTTCTACATCACATACTAAAAGATATATCGGCAATGATCAGTTGCAAGTCTTTTTTTATTAGTTTGGTATATCTGGTAAAGCAGGTTTGTACTATGAGCTAGTTTTTACCCTAAACACTAGAAAGTGGTATGTTTGAGTGTACATGCATGTACACTAAAAAAAATTTCTTCTCCAATGAGCACTGTAAGTGTCCTGGCCTTTTTCTTGCTAGCTGTACCTATATAGTCTAGCTCTAGATGGAGGAGCAAATGGTCACAGGAAGCCTGGCCAGGCTCCAGGACTAACATCAATATGTAGTTTTTCAATGTATCACAATTTGTTGGAGCTAGGTCAGAGGTAGAGTTATTCTCCCACGTCCCCAAACTCTATATTTAAAAGCTGCATTGCCAGACACTGGGCGTTACTCTTATACTGGAACTAATAGTAATAATTAATGTATTGTGTGTGGCAGCAAAAGTACAGCAGCTTATTGAACAAGAAACAGATTCATTTCAGGGGCTCTAACCTCCAAGAACTGGTCACACATTAAAAGTTATGCGTTAGGCCAAAATTAAAAAAATATTTGTTTGCCCTCACCCGACGCAGGCTGAAAGGTTTGGGTAGGTAGGTAGGCTTTGATTGGGGTCTTTTTACAAATTCAGCATGGTGTCTACATGCTCGGGTGTGCTTGTGTGGAGATACATTTTATGTTGAATGTTTGTTTTGCTTGGTACATATAATGTATTGCGTACAGATTTACATAATGTAGTGATACAATTTGTGAAAAAAAGGGAAAAAATGGAGATCAATGAAATTTTTTTGAGTCGACCCCTTTTTGGCAGGTCGGTCTGGTGAGGGCAAACAAACAATATTTTTATTATGACCTTACAGCTGGCATGGTCACGCAGTCAGCGTGAGGGGTGTAATAATTCCTTGTTTTTCAGTTCTTAGGGAGAGGTTAACCACGATTTGTGTAGGTTGCCACAAGTTACCTTCTCGCTTCTCACTACATGGCGAAAAGATCACAAGCGAATGTAGCGACCAAATATTGTAGTATACAACGCGCTGTACATAACAAAACTTACAAACACCCTGATGGCTCTTACCATTTTTCAGTACTTTAACGCCATTATTAACCATATTCACGCTATTGCCATGTATTTACGTGGCAGTGGGCATAAGTCTTCCACACTCTCGCCAGTCACGCATTAGTTGCTGCGCATGCGCACTATTGCAAGTATGCAGTTTGCACGTTCAAAAAATGTAGCTCCTTTACAAATTGTCTGATTAGCTCTACAATTTGCTCTAGTACTACTACTAGTATAGCACCTGACAGTTGCCACAGGCAACTAGTGCCTGTGGCTGTGGCACCTGAGGCTGAGGCTGTGCCATGGTAAATGGGGCACATTTCAACGTGAAAAATTTGCTTAATAGCTCCTGATCTTTCCCCACAAAAACACAAAACTAAGGCATGTACCACTACTAGTATTAGTAGTAGTAGTAGTAGTAG